CTGATCCATTGGGCTATAAAGAGGACTCAACTCGAGGCTGAAAACTCTGTACTTGTGGGGAATTCATGACATGGGTATTTCACATATATGTTATATAAATGTGTTTAAATTTTGGGAAGGATTGAATTTGATTAAGGGTGCGAAGGATGAAATGGGACATGGCAGCAACTAAAATGCAAAAAACAGTTTCTGTCCAATTTGGTAGTTTGCATAGTTTCAATTTTTACATGTCCATTAATTATCACTTAGGCATGGACAATACATCTTAAGGAGTGCTAGGTTGTTTAACAACAATTGGATGACGTCAGTTCATAATTGGACTCGAGAAATAGTGTGATTTATGAGACTAGTTTGTAATGCAATCAGTAACTTGTATTGTTAATATCATCTAAATTATTTTTGCATGAATGGACGTAGCACGGGATTGTGTGTGTTAAGGTTATCAAATTGAGGATTGTGTGTAATATTAGACGGTAATCCAGGTGATTTTCCGACTTTAAGTGGAAAAGAGAATTGATTTACACTCCGTAAAAGCGAGTGCACACACAAGGGCAAAACGGTAAGTAAAAATTTATTTACAACTACAATGCAAGAATATAGTATTTGTGATATAGTAATGTTGGATATTTACATAACGGACAAGGAGCCAATTGTATATAACATAATGGTTATAATCATTGAGTATGTGGTTTCGGAATATATTGACATTGGTTGATTAAGTATGTCATTCAGGAGCATTTTCATTTGCATGCACGACATACGTTCATGGTTGAAAATCTAGCATGCACAACATGATTGCAAAATTGAGTTTTCCTCATAAAATGTTTTAATGGCCACTACTAGGGCACCGAGGAATGCGAGGCATGCTTATGTGATATGTTTTGGCACCGCAGGTGATACTTCCTAGTTGATTGCAAAGGTGGATAGGGGATGGGCTTTTGGTGATCACAGAAGGGTGGACCACTCGACTGTGCCTTTGTGATACTCTGATTCTGCTGCCGGGTGGGATACTTCTTGGGTGATTATAGGGGCAGTTAAGGGATGGGCCTCTAGTGGTCACAAGAGGATGGTCCACTTGCCAGTGTCGATGTCAGATTCGCCATTGGATTATGGATTATTGATATTGATATTGTGCAGAGCTCTATCCGGTGCATAGTAGGTGGGTTAAGGGTCCAATGGAAGATTTCAAATGAAATTATCCCGAGTCGACTTTGACGAATATTTGAGCATGATACATCTTTAGCTTGATGTTTAAAGTAAATGGCATCGTATGATATACTATTATCACTCATACTCATAACCTGCATGATTTTTGCTAACTGATGGGCTTATGTAGTTCTTGCATTGTAGGTGAGCATGTAACCTCCTAGGAGACGTGGTTGGTTGTGGAGCTCTTACGAGATTCTGAAGTTACATGGATGACGACTTGTAAGGTTATTTTGTGGACTCCAGTTGTATTATATTATGGGATCCTGTATGACTTTTGAAGTAGTATGTAAATACATTTATAATCGCAGGATAAATATGTTGGGTTATGATTTTATACTCTTTAGTTTTGGATATATTTTCAGAGATGNAGTTTGGTATACATGGATGACGACCTGTAGGGTTATTTTGTACACTCTAGTTGTATTATATTTTAGGAATCCTGTATGGCTTTTGAAATGTCATGTAAATACTTTTACAACGTCAGGATAAATATGTTGGACTATGGTCTTATGATCCTTATTTTCGGATATACTTTTTGAAATGCTTTCGTCTTATTAAAAAAAAAAACGTGTTGGTGAATTTGGACGTCTAGGTCAAGTCAGCGATCTTATCTTACGCTGGTACTAATATTGTTATCTATATGAACGGGGTATGACAGAGTGGTATCAGAGCAAGGTTATAATTCTGTAGACTGTCCATGTACATGATCTCCGAGTACGAAAGAGGACAGGTAAGCCAATAAGTTTTATTTTGTTACATACTTCATGAATGATATTGGCTATGATTGTTTTGTAAACAGATATCGCAGTGATGGTAAGAAGAAGTGTATACAATGGAGAAATTGAACTGCAATGCAAGAAGCAAGTGTCATAGAATAGGGATGTGGTTATTGATAGATTTACAGAGCTGGTGGAGCGCCAAGCACAGCAAATTCAACAATTAATGCAACAAAAAGAAAGGGGAGAACAACAAAGGACTGAATTCGTGCAACCACCACAAAGAGCTGAACAAATTGAGACAGTTGGGGAAAGATTTAGAAAATTAAGCCCACCAATAGTTGAGGATGCATTAGATCCAACCACAGCAGATGATTGGTTAAGAACTTTAGAAAACATGTTTAGATATAGTAGAGTCTCAGAAGTGGAGAAAGTAGTTTGTGCATTCTTTATGTTGCGAGGTAGTGCTGAACACTGGTTGGAAATGATGAGTAGCATTGAAGATGTGAATGCTATGACTTGGGATAGATTTAAAGAGTTCTTTCGTAACCGCCCATGGGATGTCATCCTCACAAATGGCAGAGAAGGCATTAGTTGCAGAACAAGCCAAGCAAAGAATTAGTCATGCTCAAGAGGCTCGACGACAGTTTAGACAAGGTTATGGACAGCGTTGGCCTAAAAATGATAAGAAAAGATCATTCCAGGGATAGGGTCAGAAACCTATGTTTCAACTGAGGAAGGATAGCAACAGTGGGATCAGGGTAATCGTTCAAAGATAGATCAAGGCAAAGCCCGAACAACACAAGCGTCTTGTCCTTGATGTGGTGGACAGCATACAGGAGCATGTCCCACAGAGACAAGGACATTTATGCCTGTGGAAAAGTGGGACACCTTGCTAGAGCATGCCTAGGTAATCCAAATCCCATAGAGCAGAAGAAGGTGCCAACTAGGGTATTTACTATCACCAGAGCAGATGCTGAGACAAATCCATCAGTTGTGACAGGTAAATTTTCTATCTTGGCATTTCAGCACTTGTACTATTAGATCCTGGAGCTACGCATTCATATGTATC